CTTGTGCATGGAAGGTGGTTTCTATGCCTTATTATATATATATAAGTTTTGAACTTGATATATATTTTAGAATCTCTTAGGACATTGTTACATGTGACATGGCTAAAGTTTGGCTTTAATGCGGGAGGTATGAGTTCTCCCTAATTGAGATAGTGCGCACTAGGGTGGTCTTCCTAGCAGGTTAATGCCCGGAATAACCGGATTGATCTTGGTTAAGTCCGAGACGTGATGCCCAAGTCTTCCATTACTTGTTTTCGCATTAAATTTCAAGTTGACAACCAATGCTTAATTGTAGCTTGAAATTCTTGTTATTGGCGAATTGATGTTGTTAAGTACATTGATATTGATTTGTATTGCTAAAGAATCATTCAAGTTAGCTTAAGATGATCCCTTAGCGCACCTTGAACATAGACGTTAAGTGGAATGCTCCCTTGTATTCGTCTATATTGATCTTGCAATGATATTGAAACTTTAGGGTATACGCATATGCTTTCCTATGAGTAACTTGATTACTCACCCTAGTGGTTTGGGTTGTTTTTTAGGTAAAGAGACTATGTTCATGGATGCTCATCATCCTTAGAAGCTTTTGAGCATTTTGAAGCATTTTTGTATATTAACATGCAAGCGTTTAGCATGCTTAACTTTTGAAGTTATATTTTGATTGCCATGGGTGTATGGTACTTTGGGAGCTTTAGTAACTTTCTTGATATGTAATGACACTCAAACATTTGCTTTTGACATTATAAACATGTATGTAAAAAGGCCAAGGGTCAAGCATGTCTACTTTAGTACTTAGACACTTTTGGTAACAAAGTTTTGCTTCAAATGTCTTTTAATCAAATTTTGAGGTTTGAGAAGTCAAAATCTTGTAAATGATGTGTATGAGGCCATGGGCCATTGTTTTACATTCATTTACTCATATCAAACTTGTTGACATGTTTACATTGTCAAAACTCATGAAAAATCTGTTTTACACATCCATTTTGAATTAAAGTATCATGGGATTCGAACTTGAGGTAGTACCTTAACATCTTAGGCTCATAGCAGGTTCAGCAGCAGGTTTTCGAGGTGTTTCAGTGGACCGACCGATGTCAAATGGTTTTGCATTTGAACAGTAACATCACATTCCAATAGCCAAATCAACTGTTCAAAGCTCATTTCGGTCTACCGAACCCATATTTCGGTCTACCAAAATGAATTACATCTTTTCTTCATGATTTCAGGTCTCAGCATCTCTATTTTGGTCATCTAAAACTTCATTTCGGTCGACTGAAATAGCTTGAACCCGAGCCTTGCTTCTGTTGAGTTTCAGCACTAATCATTTGACTTCAAAGGGTCATAACTTCTTTGTTTCTAATCCAAATGGGGAGATTCTTGAGCCTAAACAGAATAATTTTGGGTCAGCTTTCCAATGGTATCAATCCCATTCTCAAATTTCAAACACAGTGGGAGTTATGTATGTTTTAGTGGAGCAGTGTCAGTTTTCACTTCAACCGGGACGGGACATTTTGTGGGATTCTTAGCCAATGTTCATGGAACCTCTTGGAATGTTTCAAAATGATTAAATTGGGTTGTATTCACCTTGTTTGACTTGTTTAGAGTCAAGTTTCTCCTTTTAATTATGAATTGACCTTTTTGCCCCCTTGGATGACGAATTTTGTCCTTTTTGATCTTTATTTCCGTTTTTGTTCCCTTTAAGTTCCGTGACCTCATGGAGGGCTACATTTGCGTCTTAGGAGTGACTGCTATCTCTAGAGACCTTGGTTTACCTTTAGCTTCCGCATTTCGGATCCGTTATCGGATAACTTTCGGTTTATTATTAACGCATCGGGTTGAAAAAAAACTTGGGCCGTCACAACAACATTGAAGGATCATACGGAAGAGCTTGAGGCTGAGATCAGAGAGGAGCAGTTAGAAAAAAGAAAAGATCGATCCATGGCAGTGAAGATATCTTCCTCAACCTTGAATAATTCCACCCTAGTCATGCTTGGCTAAACGCTTTGCTAGGATTGTGATGTAACCCTAACTTAGCACACTGGTTTGATTGTATTTAATTATTGGAGAACAATTTTTATCATGCATGATTGTGTAATCTATAGGGTTTTTAATTGAATTTTCAATAAAAATCGGTTTTATAGTTTTAATTCAATTACAAATATTTTTCTATCTTGTCTTAGATATTTTAATCTTGTGATTGAATACAACTCATTCACTTCTTGTAGTTGTGAATAAGATGATTACACAATGGTATTTCTCTGAATATAATGTTAGACATTTGATGGATTATGCCTAGAAAAGATAGACCATGCTACACCCTAGAGTAAGGTAGTTAGGTAGATGGTTTATACCAATCGAAGATAGTCCATGCTTAGCTTTAAATTATATTATTTTCTAGCAGAATAAATATGTGCTGGTAGCTATGATTTATTCCCTATGCATGTTATATGATATATCTCTAATAAATTGATGCAATTAACTGGTGGTGCGACGTTAGTGGTGAAATCATACCCCTAGTCCTCTCCCTCTATTTTCTACATCCTATTTAATAATTATTCTTTAGTTTATTTTATTTTCCATTTAGTAAATTTAGAATTAATCATTACGATTCGATTATCCTACTTTCAAGTTAATTTGGAATTTAAAAAATCTGTTGACAAACTTATTTTACACAAGTCCTTTGGGTATGACACCCTTACAAGTAAACCCTATCTACAAAGATTCATGCACTTGCGAGTGGTATATATAAATCTCACAACAAAGTGCATGCGTATACCCTAAAGTTTCAAACATTATGCAAGTTTAGTATAGATCATTGCAAGGGATCATTCTTCCTAACGTTTATATTCCAAGGTGAACAAAGGGATCTTCTCAAGCTTCACAATTAATTGAAATGGAAGACAATATACGAGTATACATGCTCAAGTATACAAAGCAATATTGAAACGAAATGCACAATATGTAAGTATATACTTACAAGTATACTAAACAATATTGGAATTAGATATACAATATATAAGTATACGTACTCTAGTATACTGACAAAATTGAAATACACGTAAAACAAGTATACAAGGCACGAGTATACTAAGCTAAATTGAAATACGCATGAAACAAGTATACAGGACGCAAGTACACTAAATGGAATCGAAATACACACCAAACAAGTATACAAGACATAAGTATATATACTAAATGGAATTGAAATACGCATGAAACAAGTATACAGGGCACAAGTATGCTAAATGAAATCGAAATACGCACAAAACAAGTAAAAAATTAAATAAAATTGACACAAAAAATTGATGTATGTATTTACAGAATAATGATAAGTAGTGCAATTAAAATCATCAAGTGGTGCCTTCTATCCATTTCCTCAGTCCCAAAATAGAATACAAAAAAATCTAAAAAGAAAATACCTAAAAATACCTAAAAACCTAAATTGCCTTTATTATACAAAGTACTGAATAAAAAATACCAGGAAAACATGAAACCTAATTTGCCTTTATTGCCTTTGTTTTTGATAGCATGAAAGTTATTTAAAAATACCTAAATTGCTTTTATTATACAAAATAATAGAATAATAAAATAACAATAGAAATGTAAAATAAAGAGGTTTGAAAATATTTTTTAGCTTCTTTTGTGCCAGAAAAGTTTTAAGAGTAAATAGGTGGATGCAGAAATCCTCATATTCAAACTTTAAATTTTATCCAAACTCTAAAGCAAAAAAATTTAAAATTTTCTGTTTCCTTCACTTTTTAGCTGATTCCATCTTATCAAATAGAACGTAGTACATGATTCTTTTACACACGCATACTTTCACCAAAACTCGAGTGTGAATTTGTATTGGGCTGTTGCCGTTGATACATGATTCTTTTATTTCTCTAGAATCATTTCTTAGGATAAGGATTATTATTTATTTATTTATTTTTTTAAAAAAGAAGTTAAATAAGCAAACTCACTCGCTTATGCTTTCACCAAAGCTCGAACCAGATGTGAGTTTGTATTGAGTTGTTACCGTGACTTTTGTTAAAGGACTAAATTACAAATACCTAGTTTACCAATTAGGGCTTGCGAAAGACATACATTGGAGATCAAAGAAAGAATTAATAATAATAAAAAAGTAGAGACTGAAAAATCGGTGCATCACATGTGGAATTAAAACAAGAATGATGATGATAATGATGAGAAGTTAATTACTTGACTTTTGCTAAATTTACTCAATGTTATGAATGTTATTATATTATAGTTAAATATTTAATTATATTAAATATAAATTAAGTAGTTAAGAATTAAATCATTTTTTATGAAATTGTTTGAAATTTGTGAGTTAATTAGGTTCTTATGTCCTGTTAAAAAAAAGAAAAAGAAAAAATTAGGTTCTTATGCATAACATGTGCATGGATATAAGATAGTATTAATGTTAAGTTTTTTAATTAATATAAATTAAAAGAATTATAAAAAATGTAATTACAATATGATCATTCATCATCATTTCCTTGCCTTTTTTTGATCCATATGAACCCCCTTCACTAATTTTAGTAATTTCATTACATGATTGACTCTGTTTCTAGTGAGAAGCAGAGTAAAAAAATCATGCTTTCTCTAAGTTTTTATCTTGTTTATATAATAGAGAGGCTTGGAGAGAAAAAGACTAACTTGAATAATCTGTTCATAAAAAATCTATAGCTTTGTTGATGAAGTAGTACGCTACTGATAATTTCATTTTTTTCCAAAATCTATTTTATACTTATGTTGATGAAATATTTTCCCTCAACAAGTATGAAAATATTGTCACGTTACTTTAAACCATAATTGGCTTTTTAGCTCTTTTTTAAGGGTGTCCGAGTGCGTTGGTGTGACCAATATTGTGAAACATACAAGAAGAAAAAATAAAAGAAAATAAAATAAAAGAAGAGAAGGATTGATATGACCAGAAAACATGAAATTTCGAACATAAATTTGGGAAAGTAATTGACAAACGATGAGAATGGTAAACCATATGGAATAAACAAAATACTTATGTTATAAAGCAATTCAAAATTTTCTCCAACTTGTTGCTAGAAAGAATACATTAACGAGGATCATGCTTTCACGGCTTTTTTACCCAGGTCGGGAAAGTGAAGAGGATCTTCAACTGAAGGAACAGCAGCAGCTACTCGTGGCCGTGAATTTTCGGCCCCCCTGTTCCCACCAACACCGGCACCAGTTGTAGAGTTAGCTACTGGTGCAGGCCGTGAATATCCCCTGCCCCAAGTTCGCTCCTCCTGGCCACATCCTCGTCCACCACCATTTGTAGAGTTAGCAACTGGTCCATTATTCCTCCTATAACCTTCAGCCCCTGCATTTCCTTTATAGTTGGGTTGATAACCATCAGCTCCTCCATTATTCCTGCGATAACCACTGCCTCCTCCTCTCACTGTCTCAGATTTCACTGAAATTAATTAACACCACCATTATCACACAAAAAATTTTAATTTTTAAGAAACTGAATACAGAATAAAAGAATTTCACCCAAACAGAACACTAAACGATAACAATCTACTGAATTAGAAACTGAATACAGAATAAAGAATTGCACCCAAACAGAACCCTGAACTAAAAAAACCCAATTGTAAAATTTTTAATCTTAGATAAATTAGAGAAGCGATCTCCGATAAATTATAAAAGTAGATTAAGATAAAATCTTAATTACCCAACAATCTTGCTCACCCTATCAAATAAACCTCTTTCAGAATCAATTAACATTGTTTAATCAGATCAATTTACGAAAGCCACAAAACATTAAGAGCATGAGCATTATATAAATTTGTATAAACAAATAAATACATACCAATATAAACAGGATTTAAAATATAAACTTATACACACAGAACAAGAAGAAGGGAATTATACCATAATGGGGGTTCAACCGCCGTTCTTCTTCCTCCTTCTTCAGCCGCTCTTCTTCTTTCTTCAGCCGCTCTTTTTCTTTCCTCAGCCGCTCCGCCTCGATCTTTGCGGCGAGGTCTGCGGCATCAACCTCGCTTTCTTCTCCGATCAAGATAGAGAAGAAATTCCCTTGACGAGCCATGTAAAAGGGCACAATAAGAACAACAGAAGGGTTCTTCCCTTGATCTCTCTCCAACTATGACTTCACACACTTCACACACTCTCTCAAACCCTCTCTGGACTCTGCTTAAGAGGATTGCGTGGGGGAGGAAGAGAAGTGACGGGGCTCTTTTAATAGAGGCTCCACATTCCTTTCTCAGCTACACACTTCTTTCTCAACTAGTATCGTGATTTTACAGATTATTTTCTCTATTTCTAATGAAACCCCTCTTCTTTGGACTATTATTGGTTTTTACCCATTTTCACTTTCCTTTCTTATCAGTGCTGTGATTTTTTGTGTGGCTTTACACTGACTATATATTTTATCTATTTCTAATTAAACCCTTTGTCTTTGGGCTATTCTTGGTTTATCCCTATTTCCACTTTCCATTCTTAATTACTATTGTGATTTTTTGTGGCCTTTAAGTCAACTTTTTCTCTATTTATAATTAAACCCCTCTTCTTTGGTTTATTCTTGGTTTTTGCCCATTCACTTTCCTTTATTAACTATTATTGTGATTTTTTGTGGCTTTACTCCAACCATATATTTTCTCTATTTGTAAATAAACTCCTTGTCTTTGGGCTATTCATGGTTTTTACTCTTGGAATTATAAAATTGGATTTGGAAATGGATTTTAAGATGTTTGGAAAAGGCGGGATTTTAAAATAAATGTGATTTGATGAATTTCAACAAATATTATAATGTTGACAAATTCAAATAAAATTAAGATTCTGAACAATGAAGTTATTCAAAGAAAAATAAAATTTTCATTGTGTAATTTATTTAACATTAAAAAATTTATTATTAATACATGAGAATAACACGAAACAAGCATAAACAATGTGATAAGAAAATCTTAATAATATTAAATTCAATGTGGTTTAACAACTTCATTTATTTGTTTCAAATTTCTAAAATTTTCTTAAAAAGCAAATAGGCATGGGGAATTCAACTACATTTGAGTTTAAGTTAATAAAAGAAAAATATTACTTTAGGCTTAATTTGGCTAGATAAAAAAAAAAAAAAAATAGAGGCGTGTGGAGGCCTAATTACATTAGGTTAAATATTTCCATTTTCCTTATACGATTTGTTTGTTCCTGGATTATTTTGTGCATTTCTTCCTCTGCAGGTTCTTTTGTTTTGTTTTGTTTTTTTTTTTTTTAAATATTATTATTATTATTCCAAGTTGTGGATTCAATAATCATCATTCCATTGTTTCTCAAAAGAGTAATGATACTTGTCCGATCAAATTGGCCTACTCCTAATTTGAATCCTATGTGTAACTACCATGTAATTACCTAAATAGTGTGGCTAAAGATACCAAAAATAAATATGGAAAGAAATTAAAGAGGTTTTGACTACCTGTCTCCATCTCTCTTATTTTTCTATTCATCTTCTTCGTTTAATTGCTTCCTTGATTCTTTCGGTGAGGAGTTGATGATGGGTCTGGTGGAGGCGTCAAATGGAAGATTAAAGAGAGAGCGCAGCCACTTCGTAATGAACTTTTGAAGTTTTATTTATTTATTTATTTATTAATTTATAATCAAATCCCCAAAATTGACACAATATACCGAAGCTAAAATATATATTGAAAAAAAAAAATGAACGTAACAGGAAGTTGGATGATGAACATGGCGTTAGAGGAGTGGGTAGGACTTGACAGCCTTTGGGAGTAGATCCTTTGGGAGGCCGTACTTTGTAATGAACTTTTGCAGGTTTTTTTTTTTTTTTTTTTTTTTAATTTAATCCCCAAAACTGATATAATATATAGAAGCCAAAATATATATTGAAAAAAAAAAAAAAAAAACATGAATACTTACTTTCAATCTTATTAGGGTTTTTTTTTTTTTTTTTTTTTTTTTTTTTTTTTTTTTGTTCAAGCAAACAAATACGTTTATATGTATTTTCCCTTCAATTTTGCAAATTGGAAAAAAGAGAACCGCGAGTCAGAGTAAGAAAGAATCAAGGAAGCAGTAGAACGAAGAAGATGAATAGAGAAATTAGAGAGATAGAGAAGGGTGTTAAAACTTTTTCAGCTTCTTTGTGACGACTCTGGTGTTTAGGCCAGCGTGTCCTGTGATGAACCATAAGGATGATCCGATAACGGATCCGAATGCGGAAGCGAAAATAGAAAACAAGATTCTAAGAAGTCAAAGTGACCTTCCATGAGGTCGTGGAACTCAACAAGAACTGATGCGGAAGCAAAAGATCGAAAATATGACAAATAAGCCCCCAGGGGCAAAATAGTCATTTCTAAAAATTGTAGATTCGGGTGACACCGAGCACACCGCTGGAAGGACAACGAAAAACTAATCAAGATGGACTCAAGAATCGCATGATTCGAAGTCCGAACAAAGGAGAAACGGCATGACGAAGAAAAACGAGCACTTAAAGCAAAAAGGGTAAACTGGTAATTATCCAAGAAGAATCGGGTGCAACCGAGCAAACCATTGGAAAGATAGCGAAAAATTAGTCAAGTTCAAAAAAAAATTCACTTGAATCGGAGTCCGGACGAAGGAAAAAAGCCCAAAAGAAGAATTGACGTCGCGGCGGCCCAACGAGGGGCCATGGCGCACACGGCGCCCATGCGCGAGCCCACCGGTGTGCATGCCGGCGCCCAAAGACATGGCATGGTGGCAGCCCTTGGCTGCTGCTACATTTTTTTTGATCTGCCCAAAACTGAGGCTTGAAACGGAGGTCAAGACGAGTTTTTCTGGAAAAACACGAAGAAGAAACCCCCCCTAAAATCGAGTTTTCTACCTGACAACGGGGACCGAATCGAAAAAACTCACTGTGAAATCCCCAAAATGCCCCTAGATCAGAACTGAACAAGAGGGTCATAAAGCTGCTAAATGAAAACTGGAAGCTGAAACTTCACGAGGGATTTCCGGTACCAAGACGACATTTTCTGAAAAAACACGAAGAAGAAATCCCCCCTAAAATCATGTTTTCTATTCAACCATGTCAAAAGAAGAAAACAAAACTGATGTGAAAGGTCCATAATGCCTTAGATCAGAATATGCAAAAAAAATGCGAAATGAATTCACAAGAGGCTCAAAACACAAACGATGAGGTTTTGCCCAGAAACAACTATGCACGCAAACATAACTTACCTATTTAGACACGCTACAATGATCTATGGCTTAAAAATATAGCCGATGCAAAATCCGACCCCCCAACGGGCAAAAAGGCAAAAATGGACTTGGAATGGAAAACATGGAATCCAAAAATGCAAAACGGGATCAAATGACCATTTGGCCTTTGGCCACACTTCATACAAGATTAATAAGAACCTATAAAAGATTGAAAATGGAATTCCCACACCCGATGCAACCGTGGTGAAGCAATGACTTGCGATTTTTCAAGTTTTTCATAACATTTCATGAAGTTAAAAAGTTGCATAAAATACAATATACATGTCATTGGCCTCCGGCCTCATCTCATACATATCAAATACATTGAAAGGAGTGCACTTATGTACACATTACATACATGGAATCAAATATACATATTTTGACATATAAGTCTACAAAATGACATTTCATGCTAACATTTGCATAAAATGGAAACTTGAAAGCTACACGACATCCAAGGAATGCTAGGCTTCCCGAACCAAGTCTTCGTACTTGAAATATGCCCCAGTATTGTAGGGGTGAGTAACATAAAGCTACTCGTAGGAGATGAGCATGCATCGACCTAGCATTTTACAAATTTATCACCTTAAGGTGAAACATGTTAAAGGGGCTCATGCCACCTAACGTCTATGTCCAAGTGAGACTCGGGGAGCATCCTAAGCTACCTTAGAGTCTAAGCAACAAGAATCATGATATACATACATGTATGAAATGAATCATGGTTGGGATAATCTAAAGAACACGACAAGAAGAATGCTTGAGCATATATTAACATGAATTGCATTTTTAATACAATTGAACTAGGTCTAGAGTAATCCATACAACATAACAAAAGCATATTTGAATACAAGTTAACAAGAATCACATTATCCATGCAATTCAACAACAAAAGAGCATGTTATACAATGCAACAAGGTTTAAGTTCTCAAAGCCATTAACTTAGAATCTAAAGCACAAAATAACAGTAGTGGTTCATGCCACCTAACGTCTATGTTATAAATGAATCAATAGGATCAATCCTAAGCTTTATTAGAACGTCAAAACACGATTTTCAATATCGATGCAATTTAACCAACATTGGAACTTCCAATACAACGCATAAAGCACAATTTCGCAAAGTTAACATCCTGTAACTTAAAGTGGAACGACAAATAAGAAACAACAAGTTACAACATCATCTAGTTATCAACTTGAAAATGAAATGCGAAATCAAATAAAGTGGATACTCGGACGTCACGCCGGATTAGATCGACAACATAGTTACTTTAGGGTTACTAGCCCATGGGTAACCTCCCTATGTGCGCACTAGACTATATATAGAGGGACTATCCCCCGTACTAGAACCATGTCCTAGCCATAGTCAAACAACGACATCCCCAAGTTTCCAAAATCAACAAGTTGTGTAACAACGCATATATCAACAGGAATATGCAAGATAATCAACTATCTACTAAGCACAACCAAATTTGGAAACCTATACAATACATGCTCTAAATCCATAACTAATATGATATGATGAATGTTGAATCTTCAGTGTGCGATTCGTTACACGTTATGCATGAAAGATGTTAAACACGAAGTGTGCAAATCATTACACAAGGCAACAATATATTTAATAAGGAAAACATATTCTCATGAATACAAACATAGCAACTATGTTATCCAATGTTCAAAACATAACTAAATGAATATACAACAAGTCCAAGTCCATGATTTGAATATAGAAACCACTTCTAAAACACAACTAGATCATGGAGCAAATTGATAGAATTTAAATAGATAAATACAATTAAATTCTCTCGATTTTCGATTCAACTTCAATTAACCTCAATTTAATACATGTTAAAGGGCATGGCAAAGTCATCACCTATATCCATTCTAAAACTCAATTAGGTTGTTAGAACAACAAAGTAGAACTTTAATTAAATCATGCTAATTTAAATCCCAAGGTTCTAAAACAACTTCTAATAGTCCCAAATTAATATATACTAGTAAACAAGTCATGG